GAGCTAAACACTAATTTAAGAAAAGTGAGGTCAAGGTCAAAAGAAAGGTCAAGGTCAAAAAATGTTGATGCAGTTGAATAGCTTACATCAGTATGTATCAACATCTGAAGTTTGATTACACTATCTTGAATGGTATCTTTAAAACTGAGCTAAACACTAATTTAAGAAAAGTGAAGTCAAGGTCAAAAGAAAGGTCAAGGTCAAAAAATGTTGATGCAGTTGAATAGCTTACATCAGTATGTATCAACACATGAAGTTTGATTACACTATCTTGAATGATATCTTTAAAACTGAGCTAAACACTAATTTAAGAAAAGTGAGGTCAAGGTCAAAGGAAAGGTCAAGGTCAAAAAATGTTGATGCAGTTGCATAGCTCTCATCAATATCTATCAGCATATGAAGTTTGATAAAAATATCTTGGATAGTTTCTTTGAAACTGAGCTTTGAACAGAGCTAAACGCAAAGTGTGATGGAAGGACAGAAGGACGGAAGACGGACATGACAAACACTATATGCCCTGGCCATATTCATGGCGGGGCATAAAAATACTAGCCCAAATGTTGGGGGAAAAAGAAGGAACAACTAATATTGAAAGAAACCTATTACTTTATTGTATAGAAAGTCAAGGTCTTGAGGTCATTCTTTTTAAAATTAAAGTTTAATTCTGAATCATAAATAAATTAATAATTATGACGAATTTAAAAATGAATTTAAATCCTATTTTTAAATTTAAATAATTTAATTTACTGGAAATATATTTTTTGCAAATCACATAACAATTATCCTTCAGTTGATTGAATGATTGTAAATAATTTCATAGGATATCTATTATCTACATGTATTTACCATAAACAGCGGAATGGGGAAATTCGGATTAAGAAATAAAGGATTGCTTTTGGAACTGGAAGTAAATAAACAAGTCAGGTAAAACTAAAATAAGATTATGGAGATTTACAAATGATAGGAGCATGCTGATTGGAAATTTTTCATTGGTTTTGAATTTAATAGCAAAAAATGAGTGAAAATACCTGTTATGCTTTTCATGTATTTCACGTAAATTCAATTTTTACTAGCCTAAGGGGCTACCTCCAACTAGCCCGACCCCTAAAAATGATAGCCCAGCATCAGGCAATGCTACATGTAATTAAACATCCCTGCGAGCAACATCCTCTGATAATGTAAAAAGATAAACCAGTTTGTATAAAAAACAATGTTTTCAAAAAAATTTAGCTACTATCGATTTTAAAGTTTTCTATCGAATGTCGCTGATGTGCTGCCTTCAGTGATGATATTTTGATAGTCGATGATTATCGTAACAACACTAACACAGATATTTAAATACTATGAAATACATTGGGATGGGTATCCCACAATGGATCTTGTAGACTGACAATTGGAGTAAAGGCTTTGAAACACATATTTATACTTGTAAAATGATAAACAATTAATTATTAATTTAATTTCAACTTATTTATTCATTTGAGGGTTGGGAATCATATTTTCTTTGATTGTCAGTTTCTATCGCAATTTTCTACTATCTGTGGATGCTTTTTCTGCATGAAGTATCATGCTAGTAGTAAATAAATAGCTAACTAATTTACACCTTTAATGAATCTACAAAGCATGCAACACATGCATTCCTTAGAACTCTCTAGTTTCTATTTACTTTACTCCGTACATTTAATAACTCCGCTTTCATGGGGTCTGAACCCTTCTCTAGATCTGCACATGCCTGTAGTTGTAATAAGCGTTTCCTTTATTCTTTCTTTAATGCCAGTGATCACTGTCGAACACATATGTGTACATAATTATTCTCTTTCTCTGCCTGTTTTAAAACACCACTGCCTGTTTCATATAATAAATGATCAAAAAAGACAGTTTTGTCTTTGATGAATAAGCTTTAAAAATTATGTATGGACGAGTGATGAAAGGAGCATTCAGAGAGATTGATTGATTGTATGTTGTTTTAGGTCCCATTTGATAATTTTTTACTCATATAGAGATGTCACCATATACCGGTGAAGGGTTTCAAATTTAGACCTTAACTCGGCACTAAGGGCCATTGAGCAGTGAGGGTTCTTTATCGTGCCAACACCTACCATGACACAGGGCCTTGGTTTTTAAAGTCTCATCCAAAGGATCCGCAAATTTGACTTCAAAGTGCTGAGCGCTTGTCAAAAGAACAGTTGCTACCTATTTTTTATCGATTGAGGTCAGTTGCAGCCGTGATTTGAACACATAACCTTCCGATCACAGAGTGAGCACTCTACCCACTGAGCTACTGTGACGGCTCATTCAGATAGATACTTGGGCTGTGTGTCTATAGCTAATTAGTATATATTTCATTGACCATCGCATGCACATACTAAATGTAATTATTGGGGGGGGGGGGGGTGTTCATTGTTATGTTCATTTTTTTTAATTTGATATAGTAGACTGTTTGATAAAAAATACTGGTTCCTGTCTGATTTCTATATGTGTGAATTAAATAACTTGATACAAGATTTTCTGTTCCGCTTTCCATTCAGTTTTCCATTCTGCGTTTCAGCAACACCCGGTTAAATTGATATCATACCGAAACTATAGGAGGAGCAGCATTTTGAAAAATTATTTACATGCAGACAGACAGACGGACACCTTACTATGGCTTAAGCTCTTCTGGTTTTTCTGTTGTTCTTATTTAACACAATAAATGAGTACTAGATTAATTAGCATTTTATTCTAGACTAAAGCATACAAACATATTTACAGAATATTCAGTCTGGTAATGCAATATGATATTCCTGGGACTGAGCGCTGATGTTTGAGCACATAGTAAAGTTAATATGAACAGTTCACTGGATTGTTTATGTGGCCATGTAGTGTTGTTTATTAATACGCTGAATGCTACAACACATCACTGGCCACTGACCAGAGATTCTAGCTAATTGTAATCTACTGTATAGGCAGGGCTTTCAAAAAGATTAGAAACAGGTGATACTTTTACAAAAATTGGAGGTATCTTGTGGAAGCAGTTTTAATTGAATATGTTATCAAATTTTTCTCCATCAAATATTTTGACCGCACAATCATGATTTCAGCTGGGTAAAAGTACTAGGTAAACTGGCAGATTTTGAAAGGGCTAGCTGGCATATGGAAAAATTCCACATGTTGTAATTTTCATGTTTTTCTCTCCTCTGACAGGATTGTGGTTTGATGAATTCTTGGAATTGGTATAAAAAAAAAATTTCAAATCACCCAATATTAGAGTTGTTTCCAGATCAAAGTCAATATTCAAATAATGAATGCCCTGAAACAGCATTGATGATAAACATTGAATGACCTAGCTCTCTGCTTGCTACTACTACTACAGTTGAATTTCAGTATCTTGAACACAGATATCTTGAATACCATTGATATGTCAAATTGTATTCGAAGTCCCAACTACTTATTCTCTAAGTATTTTACCTGAAAATCTCGAATCCTTGGATATCTCTAAGTTTTTTCTCAGTCCCACTGAGTTCGAGATAATGAGGTTTTACTGTAGTACATAAAAAATCTGGTGCCGTACTACCCCCACATTTGTTACACCGAGGAGAAACTGAGATGTGTCACCCCTATTTTTCCTTCAGGTGATAAGTCTGAGGTAATGTTACATTAGTTACGCAAGAGTAATAAAAACACCCACGACTTTTGTGTTTTGATCAGACAACTAGCAGTCTTAGTTATATGAACAACTTTTTACTAGAAATAAAGGATAATTATATGCTGATTAGAATTTTAGGAAAATATGGTAATCAAAATAATTAAATGACAAGTACAACTCAAAAGGCAAAAAAAATTAATAGTCTTGTTTCCTGCTACCAGCCTGAAAAAAAAATTGGGTAGGTAGGTAGGTTAATTATTTTATTAAATATTTTTTTTAATTTCTTTTTTCTGACAGTATTTTTTGGATTTGAAGTAATACAAGATCAAATTAAACATGTTCATAGGTCAATATTGTCTTTTATAATTAAATTACATGTCTTTTGATGCACAACTCAAGTGGTATTTTACGAAAGTCCATATTTAAAACATAGAATTTCATGAAATACCACTTGAATATATATATTTTTTTCAGTTTTGGAACATGAAATTCTGAAAATTCCCGATTTTTTTTTTCCAAAACTAAAAAAAACACTTTAAGGATGGGTGCAAAAAAATTGGGTCGATCGGGTAGCAGGAAACAAGACTATTATTTTTTCTGCCTAATTAGTGAATGACAACATAATATACATCTACTGGTAGCCTGCTAACATATTCACTCCGACCTCCCCCAATTAAAAAAAAAGCATGTGTTTTTTCCCTCTGTATTTATGGAGATTCTGACTAAACCTGTAGGAGGAGTAGCCTTTTAAAAGAATTTCTGTTTTTAGTAACCATGGCAACACTGTTGATTAATTTGAAATCTGATTTACAGAATTATATGTATCTATGTATCTTAGTGCATTCTACTTGTTTAGAAAGTGTATTGAAATCAGGCCAAAGCTGTAGGAGGATTAGCATTTTGAAAAATTGTTTTCATGCAGACAAACAGGCAGACAGATAAACATATGTAACATCTTACTATTGCATAAACTTTCTGACCAGTCATGGCCGTAGGAACCGGGTGGGGGGGGGGGGGGGGGGGCATGCCCCCCAATAATTTTGCCGATATATAGATGACTATAGTAAACATAGATACTATATGATTGTGCCCCCTCAATAAAAACATCTGATGACCTTTTTTTCTTTTCTTTTTTTTTTTTGCTTGAATTTTTGGAAGTTGATGACCTTTTTTTTTTCTTTGCTTGTCAGGAAATTTTGGGTAGTGCCCCCTTAACTGTCAACTTAAAATGTATGGCTGTGCCCCCCCCCCCCCCCCCCCCCCCAAAGTGAATTTGCTTCCTACGGGCCTGCCAGTTGAGCTAAAACATGAATGAAGGTCTAATTTTGAGAATCATATTCAGTGTTTATGAGTGTAATGAATGAGTAAGCCTGACCTCTCCATTGCTCCACCTTATTTCACCCTCTCCATGTCTCATGTCATTCACAAATTCTCCCTCATACTGCCCTCCATCCTGCCAGACTTGTAATCCTGTGCAGAAAAATTAAATATTGAACTATTTCATAACATATTCACTCATCATAGCATTTGTGTATTGAGAGTGGACAGTTTAAACATTATTAGTAGTTCAAATTATAGCATCACAGACTACGTACTTTAATGTGAAACTTGAGGTGTCTGTGTGACACAAATGCCTCTACTGACAAGCAAATTTTAAATATGTCAATGTCCAAGAGTGTGAAAATAACAATGGGTGGAAATATGGCACAAAAATAAAATATCATCATTTAGGTGTGAATGTTTTGAATTTTCTGCCATCTGACAAAAATTCAAAACAAGCGAGTTAATTGGTTTGTAGAAACAACTACAAAAGGTTAGGAGGTGGATAAAATATACAGTTTGGTTAAAAAATATGCCTAGAATTAGAGTAAAAGGTAGTTGGTTGACCAATGCTGGAAAGTGGAGAAATTCTCCCAAACCGTGGACAGAAAATCTTGCACCGTAAATTGCACCATATTTGCATTACGGGATCTGTAGCAACTAAAATATAAAACCATAACGCTACAGTTCTGCAGCTGATAAATAATGTAAAGCATTGTGGTTTCAGTCTCCATTTTGGCATCAACAGTAAGATGTGTAGATTCTCTAAGATCCTGACATATGGATGAATGCACAGAATGCTGTGTCTCTATATATATATAGTTTGTCACACAGCCTTTTTGACACATTTCCCAAATCTATGCCTCCATATGGAAAATGTCATGGGTTTCTGGCACAGTTTTTCAGAATCTGTGAGTCCATATAAGCTAGCATGGCTTTCTGGTATGGGTTTTGTAAAACCATGTGATCTAATTTAAAATATTTTGGCCAATATCACTGTGTAGAAACTGACTACGGTAAAGTGCGTTACCCTAGTCCAAGATGGCGACATGCAAATACACTTCGATTATTTTGCACTTAGTTTACGCATTATACAGGCTTACATTATGTAATGGATGGTTTTATTTAAATTATTTGAAACAGAAGGTAACGTAGCTATTGCAAACATTTTGCATGATCTGTGCTGGTTAAAGTCAAATTACGGGTAGAAAATTTGACCAAGATTAGCGTAACGCAAATTTATGACTAGGGTAAAGATTTTGTGACCTATTTGAGTGATTCGGGTAAATCATGTGTAAAATGTCATTTTGCTTGTTTCAAGGTTTTAAAATGTTATTTCAGCAGATTCAAAACACACTCTGCCAGTAAATTCATAATTCATTACTTGCACCAAATACTATGTAATTGAAAAATTTTTTCTTGTATTTAGATTTGCACTTTATACAGAAAGTGTTATTTTACTAGCACTTTTACGCCTTATCCTAGATTGAGAAAAATGGCCAATATAAATTTTGCTGTACCTATTAAGAAAACTTTGGTAAAGCATTTGTCCAAGAGTAAGATAAATGCAGATTAATCTGGGCTTAGACTCAGAAAATTTGTGTTAGTTTTTTTTCCATAAAAATTGCACTTAAGTACTTAAAATATTATGAATTCAGATTAGTAAAAACCATTTGGTATTCAAGCATTCAATAAATTATTCTTAGAAAATCAGAACACTTAAGTTCAATCTTTCATCAACGCATAGAAAGTCTTTCCGAACAAAAAGTGTGCTCTTTTGTAATGGACGTGTTTAGTTCGACTACTATATTACATCATATTTTGTCGAAATCATTTTGTATATTTCATAGATACTGATAGAGCTATGTCCTCATCATTGCACATTTGTCAATACATCTATATGTTTCGTTTTGTTTACGGATTTATGAGATTTATCAATGTTTAATATCTTCACAATTTACATTATTATACTTTAAGGTCAGACGACACGTTCCTCAAAAATATATAATTGTTCCCAAGAATGTGCCATTGAAGTATTACTACTTTAACAAATTTTTCTCACAAAAAATTGAGGTACCTTACCAGGCATTTCTGCAAGATACCAAAGGGTGGCATTTCCTGTATATTCTATTTGATATTTTTTTAATTGCCAATGTCACAATTTTTGCTGTATTTATTTTAAAGACATATTAAAACAACTCGGAAATCACAAGAGAATGACAATTATGAATAATTTTTATATAATGTCAAGAGATACAAAACACATATTCGAGGAATGTGTCGTCAGACCTTAAAACAAAATCTGACACTTGATTCCATGTTTGCGATCTAGTGTAAAAAAAGAAGAAGAAGTCTCTTGCTGTGATCTCCGTTTAACAATTATATATATTGATGACATTTTGTCAATAAACATTCAATTATTGATTTGTTATATCCCATTAAACTCAATAAAAGACACCACATATTCTGACACAGTACATATTTGGATGTTTTACTCAAGAAAGACATCGATGGTAAATTAAAACCTCAGCTTAAAAGTTTATGATAAATGTGATGACTCCAACTCTTCTTTCATCAACTTCCCTTATTTATGTAGCAATATATTAATATTTTTTCCTGCATATAGGGTTTATTTCGTCAGTGGATTTGATAATCAAGAGCATGTTTTCGTACTAACAATCATCATATCTAAAATGAGGCAGACTGCTGACAAATAAGTTGATGACACAATGGTATCAACGATTTCCTTGAAAAGCCAACATTTCGCAAATTCTGTGGTCAATGCAATGATTTTGTTAACATATATATTATGTTGTTAGCTTGAATGTTGACTGATGTCTTTCATATAAATTGTTATTTCATAATTTTCTTACTGAATTGTAAACACAATTTCCGTTTATCCGATTTAAACGAAGGATACGTGGCTGAGTCGACCAATCGAAAGATGATCATGCCTACTCCCCACGACACCTGATCTCACCTCTGATGTTTTCCGTGGTCCTTGTTTGCTCAGTTCACAATTGGGACTTTGAGCATGAATACTGTTTGTTAATTTCGCATTTCAGTTGATAAAAGTTTATTTTAATTACCCGCAATGCCGGTTTAACTTGGTACTGTCGAGTACTAACAAATGCAAATTAGACTTAGGTTGATGAGTCATTTTCTATAATTTCGCCCAAAGTGGGGATTAAAGGATGCAACATAGACAGGAAACAATACTTTAAATCAAATAAATTAATTACATCATTTATACATGTATATTTATTTAACAATAAAATAATACATGTACATGAAATGGAAAATATAATGATCATAATAAGAGTAATATTTTGTATGAAAATTGTGGTTATAAAAAAAAGCAACCGGTATAATTTCTTTGTGGAAGCAACATTTCTTGAACACGTTCGAGAAAGCCTTTTCCAACTACATTAATTGTATAAAGCAGTTAAAAAATCAAAATCGTGTAATATCAGGTTGTAGAATAAATAACTACCCTAGTCTCGAAAAAACTTTACCCTAATCGCAAACAAATAGTTCAGAAACTTTACCCTAATCTGCAGCAAAACTTTGACGTGCATTTTCTTTTTATTTATGCTAAAGTTGAATACAACCTCCATGCGAGCATGTAAAACTAAAGCTGCCCAACAAATTGGTGCAAAATAAAGTAAAACTTTAAGCTAGAAATCACCAATATTTGTACGAGAAAATTTGAAGCTTTTTTGTCTATCACCATCTTGGACTTAAGGGTGAGTGTGACTAAAATGGGTAGTAAAACCTGGGCTGGGCCGGGAATTTTGAAACTTAAAACCGGGTTTTTGCTAATTACTGAAAAAATGCCGAATTCTTCATCACGAAACTTACAGATGTAATTTAATACAACAAATAGTGTCTTCGCTGAGAGTTTTAACACCAAATATTATGTTTTTCAATTACTATTAACGATTGTCATTTTCCCGGTGACTAAAATGGATAGTAAGCCCGATTTAATCATTTTGGTGATTTAAAGCTAATTACACTCAAAAAATGGGATTTCTTTGTGTTTTATCGATGTTTATTAACTTTTAGAACTTAAATATTACAACGATTGCAAAAATTAATGTCAATAATTAAAATAATCGCCAATTTTTTATACCTGGGACAGTCCAAAACTGGACGCGTTTGCCCGGGACAAACTGGAATATTCCGAAAAATTGCCATCAGATAACCGGGTGCAGAGACCCCCCCCCCCCAAAAAAAAAGAGAGAAAAATCAACAAATGGAGAATATAAATGAAATATACACAAAAATCCCAACAATTCGTTTTGTTTAAATACTAATGGATTATGTATCTTAATGATTTGACAAGAGAAAGACTGTGGGTAATCATTTCCCTGAAACTACATGTATATATTGTCGGCAGAGCTAGCTTGGAACATGTTAAATTAAGATCATGAAGATAATACCAGTAAATTTAATAAAATCTACGCAGCTGGCTTGGTTCAGGATATTTACTACTCTCATCATTATCTCGGAAATTTAAGGTTCGTCGCGGGTAAACGTGTCCGGTTTTGGTCGGTCCCGGGTATTCAAAAAATCCACTTATTTTCTACAATCGGAATATATTTATAAAATGGTTATAATTTTTTGGCAGTTTAAGTTCATTTCAATCTTTCCAATACAAAAAACTGCAATTATTTCAATAATAATATAAGTACAAAACACCAAAATATGTAAACCGGGTTTACTACCCATTTTAGTCACCGGGAAAATGACAATCGTCGACAATCATTGAAAAAAAGTAATATTTGGAGTTGAAACTCTCAGTGGAGGCATATTGTGTTGTATTTAATTAAATCTGTAAGTTTCATGACAAATAATTAAGTATTTTTTCAGTTATTAGCAAAAACCTGGTTTTCAGTTTCAAAATTCCCGGCCCGGCCCGGGTTTTACTACCCATTTTAGTCACACTCCTTAAGGGTAACACACTTCACCCTAGTTTCACCGTTTCTACACAGTGAATATCCCGTGCCTTGACCATTTTTTGGCACGACTTTCTGTACACATTTTACATACATAGGAGCAGGATTACTACAATCAACGGTTTCAGGAAGCGGAATCCATGCCTGTGCCGTGTCTAAGCCCCCAGACTACAGAGAATATATAGCTTTATATTTGGGGATTTCACAATTTTCAAAAATGGCTAGGATTTAGATATTTTAATGAAATCTACGATCAAACTTGAATGCCCAAACTCATTTCCTGTAACATATACACTGAGATCTCACAAATTTCATCAGTATATTGCTATTTATATTTGTAACTTTAAAAATTTAACGTACTAACATATACCTTTTCCATTCCTTGCATTGTCCGAGTAATGGCCTTCGTATCTAGCGCCATTTGGCCATTTAAAGACACCTCGACCGCAACGTAAATGGTTGCTGATCATTCCTCTGTAACTTGCACCACTCTTGTACTGGATCTCCACTGGTTCTGGGAACTTCTCGAACTCTGCAATGCTCAACTTTGGCAGGTGTTCTGACAAAGTGGACATGATGTATTATTCTGCCACAATCTCTGTGAAAAACACCAGAAAAGTGTTAACTGAAAAGATATTTAACACATGATCATACAAATATTATCTTGATCAGTCTTTTTTTTTTTTTTAATATTTATATTTAAAAGGTGTCGAGGATATAACCATCTCTGCGTATAGTGCGCACATGTTCGCTAATATTCATTAATTGCACTCTGAAGTAAGTTAACGTTTCACTCAAACAATAAAAATAGCATAGAAAAATTCCTACCTTTGATAATGGATAGATATTAACCCACTTGCTAGCTGTTCTTCAAGTTAATCATGGACTGCTCTCACTGTCAGCATGTAAACATTGGCAGCCATATTGGATATCGCACCGACTTTCCGCCTAGTATGTGTACACGTTGCTTGGTGACAAAGACTGCACTTGAATATTAGACAAGTCGCTCTCTTTTAGGCTACTTTGTAAAATTTTTGGTAATTATTAGTATGTATTGTAAACGTTATTTTTCTTTAGGACCGACTCTCGCTCTCTCTCTCTCTATCTCTCTCTCTCTCTAGCAGAAGCATGAGAAGTGAGCGTAGAGAACTGCATGGAGTGCAGCATAGACCTAAAGCAATGCTTCAGGTCTATGAGTGCAGTTAAAGAATGGTTAAAAATTGTTTTGTTCTAACAGTGTTAAGTACAAAGTAATTAAAAGAAACTCACCGAAAACTCATCAGAAAAAGTGAAAAAAATATTATAGAATGTCTAGTAAAACTATTATTTTATACTTTATTAAAGCTCCGCATCATCAATTTTAAAGGGGCCTAGACACAGTTGCATTGTTTACAGTTTTAAATGTCCATTTTTATTCAAAAATAACTTGAGTTTAATGATTTGAACTTACATGAATATTCTAAGAATTCAATGACAACGACATTCTTCATAACATCACGTCAAACACCTGTGTTTGTAAACAGGGCACAAGCTCTGTTATTACCGAGTTTGTTCAATTTGTTTAGTCTGCACATATCGCTGAGCACGGACTGACAATACTGGTGAGTTGGTTTTGCTTTCTCGCATTTCTACTCTGAATCTTGATTAAAGTTTTCATATTTTTCATTAATACACATCAAAATTTCTACTTTTTTAAAGTATTATGGATAAAGTTTACTCTGTAAAAGTGCAGCGAAATGTGTCAATCAAACGCGTCCCGAAATTCGTAGTTTTACAGATAAAAGAATTTTCTTAACACGCTTTTGATATATTTCGGTGTGAAATGCTCAAGCAATATATACGTCATGGTATTATTTAGAAAATTTTTAGAAAATATGAGCTTCAAATTTGTGTCCCAGCCCCTTTAACATGTTTAAGTTCATGGGTTATTTGGAATATTTTTTTGAAATTTTTTTGGGAAAACTGTCAACCTATCTTTGGTGGGATTTTTTTCTTCATGTGTATAAATACGTTTAGGAAATCCCCAACAGAGTTAAAAATCATTTTTGGTCTCTTTTGGGCATTTTCCTACCTGCACACATCATTTTTTAATTAAAAACTCGATCGGTACTCTATAATTCCTCCAATTACATTTCAAATTTTGCCAAATAACACACGCCGTAGGAACAGTGGCGGGGGGGGGGCGTGGTGTGGTGTGTGCACCCCAATAATTTTGCTGAGAACACAGCAGCAGTGTCCCCTTAATAATAACGTCCGATGTCAGACCTCTTTTTTTTTTTGGCTTCACAAAATATATCTGTAATGAAAACGTGCAAGAAAGTGAGCAAGTGACATGCTCCGTGAAGCATACTTTATCTTAAAGGTGAAGCTGTATATTTTATACAGGTTATCGGAAAACATTTAATCTCCGTAATTTAACAACCCTTGTATATTTGTTTCTGTAAGAGTGATTTGAGAGAAAAATGAGGGAAAATTTTTATAAGCATTTACCTACTGGATTTGTCTTCAAATTGCAATGTAAAAAGAAGTGAAATTCACGGCGGCAATTAAAACACACGCCCGTAGGAAGCAATTTCACTTTGAGGGGGCACAACCATATATTTTCAGTTGGGGGAGGCACTATCAACTACCAAAATTCCTTGACAAGCAAAAAAAAAATAAAAAAAATAAAAAATAAAAAAAAAAATAAAAAAAAGCATATATAGTAGCTATGTTTTCTATAGTATTCTATATATCAGCAAAATTATTTGGGGGGGGGGGGGCACGGCCCTCCGTGCCCCCCGGTTCCTACGGCCATGAAACAGACATCTGAATGCAAGAAAGAGAAACACACATGTAGGTGGACAGAATGATAGAGGACAACCAATCACAAAGAAAAAATAAAAACCCAATGTTGTCCAAGATGTTCTTCGAGCTGACGTCAACTGAATTCAGTTCAATTCACTTTATTGACAATTACCATGTCGGCATACAGTCATGCACATTAATAACATAAAACTAACTAGATGCTGTCATAAGACAGTAATACCTGCACTAAGGTGATTGCCTCTAAATGTGCTCGCCTTCAAATTCTGGTAACCACGGAAGAAGCACACATTTAAATCAAACATAAAATGCTCAGGTGAACACGCGGCCCATATGGGCCTCTTATGTAAATGTTTCATTACCAGTCTGGTATTACATAATTTAATAATGTAAATTCTGTTAAAGAGGGAATTTTTGAAAGATTTGTGTAAAAAAAAAAAGGGGGGGTTAATTTTTGGCCCATAATTGGAACCCGTTGAATTTATTGTCAAAACAAATATTATTAATTTAGTGCATAGCTTTTTTGATGAACTTAAAAAAAAAGATGCCAAAATGACAACTTGTGCAAATTTTTATCAGTATTTGAGTAGGAAAACCCCTTTCCAAACCTACATCAATCAACTTTGTCAAAAATCAACCCCCACCCACGATTCACCTGTTTTCCTGTCATATTTGGAATAAATAGCGCAAACTTATGTGAAAATAAAAACAATGTATGTAATTATAAATAAATATAAATTTTACAAATGTACACCTTTTTGTAAAATTTCTAGACCAGAGCATGGCGTTGGAATTACGTTACACTACTTTTACCGTTATCATTATTGGATTGCACATGGTGTATGTACTGCCAGTTGGGATATTCATAGTGTGTGTTTTAAATGGATTTATTTTTTTATTCTATGAAATTAACAGTACCTATAACAGACGGTAAGTACGTAATGAATATATTGTTTTAAAATTTTAGTAAAGAAAGGGGTAAAATAATCAGAAATGAAAATTGTTAGAGGTCTAAAGTTTGAAAAGGGTGAAAGATCATTGGAATGCCGCTTGCAAATTATACATTAAAGCAAGTCCCTGGGGGTCATTTTCACTTTTTGGAGCCGGAAACAATAAAATAGCTTTCACTCAAACAAAAGCCCATTAAATAGGATATATGGGATCATGACCCCCCCCCCCCCCGGAGGTTATTCCCAACCCCTAAAATTTCAAATGATCATATATCTTGAAAATGGTTGAAAACTTCTCCCCTTAACCATATATAATATTGTCCCTTGAGTCATCATGCATTAAATGGTATAAAGGTTATGACCCCTTGAAGTCATCCTCACCCTGAAACTGGAAATCATCACAATATGACCTGCGTCAAAAGTGTGTCAGTGATAATCTGCTTGACATTTTTATTCATGACCCCCTACGGTCAGCCCAACCGGCCTTTTCCCTCTTGTCATCATTATTTACTGAACTTCTCACACATAAACATGTTTATTAAATCAATAGATCACGGACTTTTTGGTCATACGCCTAACTCTCCCTTGAATCAGGAATGGTGATATAAATATTTTAAGAATGATAAAGAATTAAAACAGGTCTTATACAATCTCTTAAAATTGATTAAGCTCTGTAGTTGAATTAGCTATACTGGTATAGCTTGATTTTGCTATTCAAAACACTTTGATTTAGCTATTTAATCATACTTTTTTTTAAATGTACATTTTCATCAATATGGATAAAAGTTGCACTATGTTGACATGGATATAAATTCTAAATTTTCAGCTTTGAGTTTTCTGAAAACAATACAGGGAAGAAAATTGCTTTTCAAATATTGAATTTTTTGCTATAACAATCTTGTAAAGTTTTGCATGGGGCTATTTACCTGGGGTAATCTCTCTTTCCTCTTTCTAACATCTATTTATGCCAAAAATTAAAATGGAATTATAAGACAAGTTTTTTTTTAAATTGATGACTTTTTAGGTTTTTACACTAAATCATACTGCAGCGAGAATGATATCCTTACCAGAAATGTAAAAAGAAAATGTTTACTCACTATCTTACAAAAGGACACAGCCAGAAGTCTTTTATCGTGGTTTGTTGAAAATTTCACATGGAACTCCTATTGCTCAAGATCAGTATTTTCAGGAGGCAGAAATGAACTCAATCAATTATGCTTGAAAAGTACTCTATGCGAACAAACACCTGACTTGTTGAAGACAGGTAAACATACCCCTCATGGTATAATTATCATACACACTTACTTACTTAGGCCTGCCGTTCCGTGAGGAACATAGACATCGACGACAGTCCTCCAACAAACTCAATTCTGGGCTGCTTTCATTGCATCTTGCCAGGTCATATCCTGTGTCTTTAGTTCTGACTCCGAGTCACGCCTCTAGGTGTTTCTTGGACGTCCCTTTTTTTCTTTGCCCTGTGGGTTCCAAGTCAGGGCCTGGCGTGTGATGCTGGATGGTGCCTTCCTTAGCGTGTGTCCAATCCTGCCCCACTTCCTCTGTCTGATTTGAACGTCCATTGGTTCCTGTCCTGCTCTTTTCCATAGTTCTTCATTTGAGATCATTTCAAGCCATCGGATGTTGAATGGGCAACCCTGCATATCATGCCTTGCATATCATGTATTTCGAATCAGGGAGACTAGCTTCTCTTGTACTCCATAGTGCCTCAGTATCTTCCACAATGTCTCTCGGTCCATGCTGTCGAATGCTTTCTCATAGTCGATGAAGTTGATATAGAGGGGGGTCTTCCACTCAAGTGATTGTTCAATGATGATGCACAGACTGGCTATG